TGTCTCTGTCTCTGTCTCTGTCTCTCTCTCTCTTTCTCTCTCTTCTCTCTCTCTTTGTCTCTCTCTCTCTCTCTTTCTCGCTCTCTCTCTCTCTTTCTCGCTCTCTCTCTCTCTCTCTTTCTCTCTCTCTCTCGCTCTCTCTCTCCCTCTCTCTCTCTCTCTCTCTCTCTCTCTCTCTCTCTCTCTCGTCCTCTCTCTCTCTCTCCAGTACATCCTTGAGTAAAGACGATCCCACAAAGCTTACCCAGACACCCTTGCAACACATTGATGAATTCACACAGTCATAAATTCTTAGAGAACAAAACAGCATGAATAAACGATACTGAGAGAACAAAATAATATTTGCATTGGGAATGTCGTAAATTACAGATTGAAGCTGGACTGAAACAAATGCGTTTTAAGTGCTGATTTAAATTTTGATAAAGTGGTGGACTCCCATGAGCTGGCAAAGCATTCCACAGGGAGGGGGCGAGGTGTGAAAAAGCTCTCCCTCCGAGTCTGTGACTTTTGCTTTGGACAAGTCTTAAAAGTCTTTTCGTCGCCGATCTTTAAGGCCGAGATGGTATATATTCGATGACCATATCACAAAGATATGATGGTGCAATGTTGCTGAGGCACTTAAAACAAATAACAATTATTTTGTACTGAATTCGTGCTTTCACCGGTAACCAATGTACTGGAATTAGCATTGGTGTTATAATATGCTCTTTGGGAGATTTCTTTAAAATTATGCGAGCAGCTTGGTTCAGGAGTCGCTGTAATCTATTTAACGTTTCAGTGGGAAGGTTTCCAAACTAAGAATTGTAGTCTAGACGTGAAAGGAAAAAAGAAGAGATGAGGGTTTTGATGGAATCAACACTAAGATATGTTGACATTTGTCCTATTCTGCGTAGTTCTAGATAAATTACCTTACATAGATGGTTTATATCATGGTGCATAGAGAGTTTGCAGTCAAAATAAACGCCTAGATTTTTCGCTTTATCTGTGAAAAAGATGTTATCATTTCCAATACATAAATGGTCAAAATTGCAAAGCAATATCCCTGGTTTGTCATTGCAAAACAGGACGTCGGTCCTATCATCATTCATTTTTAAGTCTGTTTGATATCATTAATTTTTTACCTCCACAATACATTTTCCATGCTGGTAACTAAACAATTGAAATTTGTTGGTAAAACAGACTTGTACAGCTGAGTGTCGTCTGCCTACATGTGGTAGTTAACGTTGTGCTTTCAAATTATTGAACCTAAGGGCTTTGTATATAGTGTGTATAAGAGTGGTCCGAACTCGGACCCTTGGGGCATGCCCAATTGCAAGCTGAATATGGGTGACATTTCACCATTTACAAGTATAAACAGTGTGCAATTAAACAAATAGGAACAGTCCCAGATAGACCAAAGCTAAGGCCTAACCTCCTGATCAAAATTGAATGATCGATGGTATTAGGAGCAGGACTTAGATCGAATAAGGCAAGAACACACACTTTGCCTTTGACTGCTTCACAAAGGAGGTCATTCTGTACTTTTAAAAGTGCAGTCTCTGTGTTATGAAACGCTCTGTAGGCCGACTGATAACATTGTAAAAGATTATTTTCTGCAAAATTTGCTCTTAATTGAGGTTGAACAATTTTTTCTAAGATTTTACACAAAAATGGTAGGTTAGAATATATGTATATATACATAT